TAGAATAAAATGATTCCTTAGAGCAAAAGGTAATTTTAAAAAAGGTGTGTTTATTTAAAAATATTTATGGACTATTCACTATGAGTCAAGGACTGTGAGATAGAAACAGTGACTCAGAGAGATCACAGTATGGTGCAGAGCACACATACTGAACTGGGTATGTGAGTTACGTCTTTGCCTCTGTGCATGTGTGATGAAGACGGGTGGGTGGAATGGGCAGAGAGCGACTATAAATTCTGTAAAGGGATAAACTTTTATTCATTCAGTAAGAGTCTCTGGCTTTATTATGGTTACATACAGCTGTTAAACCTCCCATCTTATTATCAGATTACTCATAAGACTGATAATAACCTCTAGATAAGCAGTCACCGGTCACAGATGAGTAAAGCAATGCTTAAACAATAAACGCTTGACCTCTATCCCTGCAGTAAGAGGGAGCTGCACCCATTTACACGCCATTTCTAAGATCCAGCATGTAAATGTTTATTTCACCTGAGTGATGTTTTTCTGATGATTTTACATATTTGTTGCATCTTAAACTTTGGAGACCTCAAAGTTGATCTGGTACGAATGCCTACTCAAACAAGGGATCCCCCCTGCAGCACTCCCGGCAGCCACGGGCTTTGCTGGGATACTCACTAGCAGGAGCAGACTGTATTCATAATAGACAATAATTATTAGAAACCGCCTCCTCACGCTGAACTAAAGCCTCCTTATATTTTCCAACCATTTCTGTAAGCTTTGGCTTCTGCGGCAATGCAGAATCATCCTATCCTTTCTCCCATGTCATTCAAGGATTTGATAACAGCTATCATTTCTATTTCTGAATTCATCTCCAGCCGGAACTTCCCTAATTCTTTCACGTATTTCTCTTGAAAAGTTCAAGGTCATCACCCTCCTATTCTTACTCTTCCAAACACTGTAATACTTGGCCACGGTCTGCTTAAAATGTGACACCCGGAACAGAACACGATATTCTAGCTGTGATTGATCTTACCTCACCGGAGTCCAGGCGGATTATTCGTCTGAGCCGAGTACACCTTCCATCACACGCTCCTGCAGGGCGTTCGTTTTCCCCTCCCGTTGCCCTCCCCGCCTGTGCTTATATGGGAATCTGGTCAAATAAAACTGCCAGGTCTTTTTTTCTGAAAACTACACTATCAAGTCAGGTTTCCCCTCCTTTTCCCTTGGCAATAGAATATGTCCATCTTCATCTTAGATTGGTCTCAGCACTGAAGTAATTTCAAATCTTAGTAACGTCATCGTATTTAACCATTCCTGCGGTTATCTAAATTCGATAATACCGCCTATGGAATTTCTTGTGTCTTCACCTAAAAGACCAGAAATTTCCCTCACTTTAATGTGAATCCCTATTCGACCCTCCTAGGTTGTTTCAATAGCTAGGAACCCACCTGGCTAATGATTGTCCAGTCATATCCTTATCTTAGCCAAAAAGATGTCAACAGAGACATCGACTGTCTTTTTAAAAAACATGTTTTTTATTGATTTTAGAGAGAGAGGAAGGGAAAGGGAGAGAGAAACATTCATTGGCTGCCTCCTACCCCCCAATGGGGACTGAGCCTGCAACCCAGGCCTTGCCCTGGCCGGGAACTGAGCCTGCACCTCTCAGTGCATGGGCACCAGGGACGATGCTCACCCAGCTGAGCCGCATCAGCCAGGGCGCAAATGTCTGTCTGGATTCAGTGAACACTGGTCCTTTAAATCAGTCTAAGCCATACAGTTTCTCTGACAACAAACGCTACTGATATTTTATCAAGGTACTGAATTTTTAGGTGAGCCTCCTGGTGCTATGAAATAAGCACCTCAACTGGGTGTCGGTGCATGTGAGCAGAAATAAGAGCTTGTGCTATACGCACCTCTTCCCTCTTCTTGTGCACACAAAGGGCCAGATGCACTGGATCTGCACTGATCAGGAAAGGAAACTAAGACGTAAACACAAGCAAATGAAAACTTGAGAAGTCCTCGCTAGAGAGGGGTGTGTGAGTGGCTGTGCTCATTACTCGGGCCCTGGCTGCATAGCTCAGTAGCTATGCCAAGGTTGCGGGTTCCATTTCCGGTCAGGGCACATACAAGAGGCAACCAATGAATGCATAAATAAGTGGAAGGACAAAGCAATGTTTCTCTCTCTCCCTCATCCTCTCTCTCAAATAAAATAATAATAAAAGAGCCATCGTATCTACTTTGGCCTCTTACACAATGCAGTTTGTCAAGTCTAAAAACTATAGATACCCTCCTTTCATCATAGTATTTTAGGAAGGCAAGCTTCTAGTGTGAACAGCTCAGATGGCAATTCCTCAAGATAATTTTTAGTTATTTAGGAAATAAGCAATGCTTGTATTACAGAAAAAAATCTGAATTAGGTGGTACAGCATCAAGACTTTTCTAGGTGGTACAACATCAAGACTTTTCTATCTCTTCACTGTAGCATCCTAAAATAAAACCTTTAGAAATCGGGCCTGCTATATATTAACATAAAATGTTTAAGAACTTGCCCTGGCCAAGTGGCTCAGTTGATGGGAGTGTTGTCCTGTACACCAGAAAGGCTTCAGGTTTGATTCTCGGTCAGGGCACACACCTAGGCTGCAGTTCAACCCTTGGTCGGGCACATATAGCAGGCAACTGCTGGATGTTTTTTTCTGTTCTACTCCCATCTTCTTCTCTCTCCAAAAAATATCAACAAAAACATATCCTTGGGCCCTGACTGGTGTGGCTCAGTTGATTGGCACGACGTCCCGTGCACAAAAAGGCTGTCAGTTCGATTCCCAGTCAAGGCACATGCCTGGGTTACAGGCTTGACTCCCCTACGAGTTGTGCAGGAGGCAGCCAATAACTGTTTCACTCTCACACTGGTGTTTCTTTCAATCTCTTAAAACCAATTAAAAATATTTTTAAAAACAGACAAACAAAAAACATATCTTCAGTTAAGGATTAAGAAAAAAAATGTTTAAGAGCCTGCCCTTTGCAACATAATGATGCCTCCAAAACCTGAAACAGGCCTACATCTCCTGGGTCAATATCAAGAGAGACTTTTTTACGTGTGGCTCAGTCCGTAAATCTGAAGAGTAGGTTGAGCAAATACAACTTCTATAGTTACCCAGCACTCAGAGTGCCTCGTTGACACACTATGCTCCGATCTGGAAAAAAGAACAAGTGGATGGATGATCACATTCAAAAAGGCTTTAAAATGTGAGTCCTTAGTTTTAAATTATGCTAGAGAATCCTTTTTGGGGGAGTATTTGATTCTGTTGCTGTCCTTTGGTAGATTTTAATGATTAGATGTGGACCTTAAATTAAAAGAACACCATACGCTTTATTTCTCTTACGCACTTCAGTTTCAACATTATTATATGAAAGAACTGTGAGCTCATTCTTGTGGATAAAATGTGACTTTATTGTGTGCAGCCTTTTCATACCAAGTATCAGTTTTTCCATGTGAAGTAAGTGAAAATTTAAAAGTTATGATAAAGTTATTGTTAAGGAGACACATTGTGCGATAGAAAAACTGAAGAGAGTTTTTGTCTAAAACTGGAAAACAGAACAGTCTGGGGGAGAAAAGATAGAAAAGTACCACAGGTTGCTAAGACCATAAAAACCAACTTTGGGGACCAGAGGCGGTGACACTGACTGAGTGTGTGAGTAACAAGGGCCAGGCAATTGTCTCCAAAGGGAGGGTAGGGTTTCATGTGGACCTTTAAGGTAATTGCTTGGCAGTAATCATCTTGGAATTTTCTCTTGTGTCTCTAAAGCTCTCGATTTTTCCTGCTGTCTAGAATTTTTTTATGCAGCGTAGTTGTTTTTATTTAGCACAAAGCCCATTTGGACTAGGCAATAGAAAGGTTCTAATTTTGTGCCTGGCCAGCAAAGTCATACTTCAGGTACAGAGTGGGAAGACTTAGGCAGAGTACATTCAAAGTTTGCTTTTTTCATTAAGAAGTTTTATTACCCTGTCGTGGTTTTCTTATTGAGTAGACTCCTAGAGGAAAAGTAAGTACCGTGAGTTTACTGGTCTGCTACAGAATTAGAATTTAGGGCCCTATTTAGTTGAAGAGAGATCCCAAGGGTCACTGAAAATAAAAATCACCAGACAAAACTGACTACTGCAGAGCCCCTCCCCACGGCTGAGTGCAAGCACACGCCTGACACTCTGAGCAGCTGTGCTAAACTCTGTCCAGGAGCCACTCCTCTGGGGTTCCTGAACCCTTCCGCTCCGTCTGCATCAGCGCGACTCTCCAAAGAGCCACATGTGACAGGTGGATCAGCCACTTTGGGTGAGGTGGGCAGTCAAGGAGGCAAACCCCCCACCACTTACTAGAAACTCCAGAAGAGAAACATTTCCTCGCTTCAGGAAGGGTTCTCACCGGCAGCTATGCCAAGAGACGGACAACCTTATACGCCGAAGTGAAAATGAACCTCTAATATAAGGTCCCGAACCCTCTAACACAAACACTGGCAATCTCCACGAGGCTAGTCAGGATTCATAGTTGTTCGGTATTTTCTCACTGGATTTTGGACAGAAAAGACAAACCCAAATGGAGAAACATAATTTAAGTGTGGCAGGAAGTTGGAATCAGGAGGCCTGAAATACAAAGATAAACGCATTACTGAGGCATATTCCCCTGGCCCTGAGGTATGCAGGCAAAGAGGCCACACTTGACTGTGAGACAAACAGTCAAAGCTGATGCAGGGCTCCAAGAAAATGTTCACCAGAGGAATGTGGTGATTCACTTATGGCCAGAAATCGCAAGTAAAAAACTGCAAGATATAACTAGGATCAAATTATATAATGTATATGATTCAATTTAAAAATTCTGAGCCCTCTTACATTATATTATTTAGATTACAAGAGTAAAAAAATCAAATTACATTCATATGAAACTTTTATAAAAAGAAATCAAATCTATTTTTATGAAATTTTATAGAACAATTATTTTTGAGTGGGTCTTTTCTTAAGTCACCGTATTCATAATTCCATTTACATCTGTATAATTTTTCAAATAAAAAAAAAGGCAGTCAATAGAAATCTACATTTTCACTTGCAAAACTCCCTTCAGTTTCCAGGCCAGTCACCCATGGCGATGTCGGCTTGTCCTCCAGACATGGACTGCTACCAAAGAGCCCCAGCTTACGAAGCATGCAGGCCTCTGCTCATTAGGAACGCTTTTTGGTTTGGCTCACGTTTCAAGAAATTCTGGAGCATGTCCATGCCGTCCAGAGATCCCCCAGGTTTCAGGATTAGGTTTCTGTATTTCATTCCAACCTAATAAAATAAAACATCATGCCTAACAATTCACGGTCATAACAATTTTCCAAACCTCTAGATACAAAAGAGAAAGGGGTAGGGTAGAAAAAAAGGGACTTTTAGCTCTACTCTGTCTGGGGCTGCAACTCTGCAGCATTTATTTATTTTGGTATCTAAGAGATCGGGAGCTCAAACCTCTGGTCTTCTACACTTCCCTTTATTACTGTCTTGTCTCCTTTGACTCTCAGCAGTGAACTGACAATGTGAACAAACAGACAGACAAAAAATAGCCAGATGGGCTCCGGCTGGGTGGCTCAGTTGGTTAGAGCACTGTCTTGATGCGCCAAGTTGCGGGTTTGACCCACGGTCAGGGCACAAACAAGAATCAACCAGTGAATGCATGGATAAGTGGAACAGCAAATCAATATTTCTCTCTCTAGAAATCAATCAATACTTTTTTTTTTTTTTAAACTGCCAGATGGAATGTATAACAGGTTCCTATTTGTTACCCCTTCTCAAATGCAATTTCAAAAGGGTTAGCAAAGCAAGTGTTTAAGAAGGCCACAGCTGGGGTCTGTGTACCTGGAAATGGTGACACAGCTCCTGCCAAATGGCTTCTGCTGTTTTTAAAGAGGGGCTCATGAAAAACCCCTATTCCTTGTGGACAAGGTGGTGGTAGAATAGCCCATGTCCCACAGAGTACAGTAAGACATTTTTGTGGGCCCAGCACTGGGAATGAGGACCCTTGTAAAGTTTTCTTTGGGCACAAATCTGTAATTTTATTTTATTTATTTAATTTTATTATTATTATTTTTAAAAATATATCTTTATTGATTTCAGAGAGAGGAAGGGAGAGGGAGAGAGAGAGGTAGAAACATCAATGATGAGAGAGTCACTGATTGGCTGCCTCCTGCACGCCCCCAACTGGGGATCAAGCCTGTAACCTGGGCATGTGCCCTGACCGGGAATCGAACTCCAATCGCCTGGATCCTAGGTCGACGCTCAATAAAAAATTATTGAGTTTTTTTTGTTATTTTAAGTCCTCAAAATCTAGTGTGTTTTTTACATTTACAGCACCTCAATTCAATTCTTCAGTTGCACTAGCCACATTTCTAGTGCTCATTAGTCCATGTGGCTATCAATCTAGAATTGAAAATGTGAGTGATCATCTTAGAATTTATTATTTCAAGACATAGCAAATCAGACCTCTTGAGCCTAACCACAGTTTACCTCCCTTCCCTTCCATTCATTGCCTAATGTGTCCAAATTTGACCAGTTTTAAATTAGGGAGGGGAAGAGAGGCAAGGAAAGCCTGTATTCTCTGGGTTAGCAGTATAGAAAGAAGTTAGAAAATGTGTTAAGTTTACCTGCAGGCTAATAAAAATATTTTAATCCTTTTATTATGGAAAAATTTAAAATATATACTAATAGCAGAGAAAACAGTATAATGAACCCTCATGAACCTATCATCCAACCTCGATTTTAATATTTATCTGCAGAAATTCTTAATGCTCATGATCTAAGAATCTTTTATTCAAAAGATATATTTCATTGCACAAATATTATAGGAACATTTGTGAAAATCTAAATAAAGTGAAAAAGAAATCACCCTAAATGTTGATATCTTACAAAGTATTCTCATCTTGTACAGGGAACTGTAGTTTTAGGTGGTAATAAAAAAAATAAAAAATAAAAAAAAAGGCAAGCTTTGAGTGAGCTGCACGGTGCTGTGAAGAGCCAGCTCGTGCCTCCACTGAATGAATGGTAAAGTCATTGCAGGGCAGGGCACTGTTTAGTCTCACAATATGTGGCTAGTACAGCTCTATTCCTCCCTGCTCAGACTTCAAACAAGTTGATTCAATTTCCTGAATTACAGAGCAATGGTCTTTTAATAGTTTCATTTCCTTTGCAATGAAGTTTGGAGAAGAGTTGAAGAGTTTAAGAGAGCTTGCTTTTCTTAAAAAAAAAAAAAAAAAATGTGACTTTTTGCATTTTAGGAAGGTATTGGGCCCTCTGGGTGAGAGAACTGGGTCTGGGAGACACATGCCTCAGGTGGAAGGAGTCTTTGCCATACACTATTCTACTTTGTTTATATAGTAAAGAAACTTCGACTGCAGGGAAAGCAGGGAGAGCAGCTCTAAGACGATCACTAACATTTTTCATGCTAAGAAAAAGCCTTCAGGAGGATCTGCTTACAGTAGGAGCACCTATTACCTATTCCAGGAAGGAAAATCATCATCAGTCACCTCTATGGTTTTTCATCCTGGAAGAGTCTCTTTTGGCAATTGAGCATGTCCTCTCTAACAGGGGTGTTTTCTAAAGCCAGATCAGGAGTTTTGGAGTCAGGCCCAGGTTTGACTCTTGGTTTCGTCCTCAGCTATGTGACCTTGGGCCTTGGTTTCCTTACCTGTAGACTGGGAAAATGCCTACCTACCACAGTTTATGGGAATTAGAGGAGATGGTTTCAGTACATTGCCTACTCCCTACTATAATACCTGGCATACAGTATTCAATAAACCTTAGTTGTCACCTATCCTTCCCTTTCATTTCCTTCCCTCTCACACTGCCCCTAAGTTGTTTCTCATGTAAAGTTCAGGGAAACAAATGCATTCCTGGTTTGGTATTTCCTTAAAATTAGCACTGTGTCCTACTACAGATGGGGGAAAAAAAGCACAACAGACTTCATCGCCACTATTCGTATGAACTAGAATATATAATTCAGTAGGAACACTGAGTAGAAGAGAAAAAGCACTCGTTTTATCTGAGAATATGCACCCTTTGTTGGAGGTGATACTTTAAGAGCAACCGTAACTATCTGCATAAAGAATGCCCATCATCTATCAGTAAAGACAATTCTATATAAATGGGAAACAGACCAGGTCTCCTGCTGTCTCCGTCATCTCTGAAGAGGCACATACAAGCTCCCACTGCCTTCCAAACCTCTCTCCCTCTCTCCTTCTCATTATGACTGACTCTGGGGAGTGGAGCCAGAGTTGGCTCCTTCCTACACTGGGTAACAGGTATCACGGCAGAGAGCATCCACCCAAGAACAGGGGATGGGGATCAGGCACCTAACAGGCTCATCAGTCTGCTTCCAAAGTGGACTTTGAAATCTTTCCTTCTACAGCTCATCTGCAAGCTCCTTCCCAACACTACACCCTTTGTTTTCTATGAGGGTGGGGAGATTGTGGGTGAAGAAAGAATACCTGTGAAGACAACAAAGGAGGCGAGACAGTGCAAGATTGGTGCTGGTCGTCAGGGCCATAAAAATAAGAACAGTGGTAGGAGTCTGCTTGATTAGACATGGCCTTCTGAAACCTTAAGCAAAATTTCAATTTGTGAGGATGGAAGGATAAATCTTTATTTAAGGGGAGGGAGAAGGTCAGGAGAAAAAAGGTACCCTGGGTAGTAGTATGTGCTCTGGAGGTAGAGGAAGGGAAGCAGAGGGCAGGAACTACCAGTCAGGTGGAAAGAGGTCCCCGTTTGTTACAGTACTAATGAAATGTAACAGGTCTGAAGCAGAGGATAAACACCACGATGAAGGACACAGTTCCTGGTACAAGGGCCTGATGATGTAGGAGATGAGATAAAGTAACAGACAATTAACAAGGCCGATCATTAGGACTTTAAGAGAAACACAAAGAAAGGCCATGAGAACACAAAGGAAGAAAAACTGCTTCTGGCTGGTTGGGATTCAAGACTTAAAAGGTCTGGCCTTGTAAATATTCAAGAAGCAGGTTGGAAATCAATCCTATTTCCTTTCTTGGTCCTTTAAATCAGGCAAAATCTAACTCGGTCAGACAAGGTTGAAGTGTAAGAGAAATCAGCATTTGGGTGGTAGCTCAGAAGAGCTGAAGCAGAAGTTAATCCATTTGTAAGCCTGTCGGGAGGGGAAATTTCATACCCTCCCTTAGCAACACACAACAGCAGGAACTGGGCTCAGGATTCTGTCTGGAAAGCACTGGAATATTTAGCTTTATGGTACACATTCTCTGCCAGGTGGCTCTTTTTCATGTTTAACCAAGGTTCTTCATGTTTCTGTGTCTGGTCTGTTACTGGATGTAGGATCTAGCTGCTTCTTGATGGTATTACCCATTAAAATATAATAGCCACACTTTATCTTGTGTGTGTTTTTTTTGGTGTTCCTTTCAGCAGCAATACATGGTTGTTATTTCTTCTTCATTGATGGAATAAACAAAGCTTAGCAATTTCTCTAAATGCAAAAGAGGAGGAAGATAATTCTAGCTTAACGATATAATTGCCTTTGAATCCACATGTCTATTACCTCTTAGGAAATTTTCCCACGATGAAGTTGCCTTATAAAAAGAAATGGCCTTAGTTAAAAGCCCCCATTTTTTCAACCCTATGATTAGCTGCTGGATTTTGAAACTACATTTGAGACCTTAAAAATATCCTTCAAGAGCTCTTAGACTTACTGGAAAAGTGTCCATCTTAAGCAAGCAGTTCCCTTCCGGTTATTTAAGAGGCCAGTTGGAGAAGTAAAAGGTATTTTTGATAGTGAGACTTCTCCATTTCCCACCAGAAACAAAGCTTTAGATAACATTTAACAAACTAGTCAGATAGTTAAGGTGTTATCTCTATGAACTATGAAGAATATAAAAAACTACAGAAAAAAACCCAGAGGTAGCAAACTTGTAGTCTATTATAGGTAGGTAGCCAGCTCTAACACTTTGATAGAAGCTGATAAAATAAAATGGAGACAATTGTACCATAAAATATTCTATTGCTACTAGCTGGTATTGACACCAGGTTTATATTTGATCCTTCCTGTTACTGTTTTCCAGGTGAGTAGTACACTTTCTACAGTTCTGCTTGCTAAGAACTGCAATGGTTGTCAGAGCGAACTCTGGGCTATGCAGGATGGCGAGAGGTTACAGAGAGAAGGCCTGGACGCATTCTTTTGTTGATACCAATGACCATGACCAATAAGGACAACAATTCATAATAAGCTTGGGACCAAGAATAGGAGGTACTGGCTCCTTGAAAGGCCAGCTAGCTATCTTCTCAAAATGATCAAAATACACACTAGGGAGGGTGGGAGCCTTGAGAAAATGAAGTCTGCATGACATACTATGATTATTCTGATTGATTGGAAGCCATAAAAATTCTGTCTCTTCATCACAACATAAAAATTCTCTTTCTTTATACCATAGAAATTCTTACTCTTTGTCACAACATAGTTGTAATAATGACCTAAGTTTCTTGTAGAATAGGATTGCCGTTCCAAAGTATTAATTTTTAATAGTGGATATTTGAATTTTGTAAATCAGGTGTTATTTTAGAGTAAACGTTTGTAAAAAAACAAAACAAAACCCCAAACCAAACAAACAGTACACTGTAGGAGGGAATAAAATGGCTATTTAAAAAGCTGTTTATCTACCATAAATGAGTATGGGGGGGGGGCAAAGGGATTCTTATTGGACACTAGAGCCACATTTACTATTGCTGTGACAGTAGGGGGCATTAATGATATGATATTCCAGAGTATCTGATAGGAAAGAAAAAAGAAGGGATTAAAGCCAGCTTCGTGGCATAAGGCAAGTAATAATAGATAGCATTGTTGGATCCAAAATTTTAGTAAAACTAAAAACAGTTTTTAACATCACCAGGAAACAAGTCCAAGTTGTCCAGAACCTTGCTTTCGCCAAGTTCAACCCAGCCCCTTTGTTTAAATTAAGAGTAGTCTGGCTGCCTGCCAAGCTGTGGAGCTTGAGAATAGGGGGAAGTTTAGAAACATAAGGGCAGGATCACCTCTGCTGGACTTGCAGTTCCTTTGGATGCAGTGCGACCAGTACTCTACTCTGGCTACTGTCTTGACAGCTGGAAGAGAAAAGGTAACAGTGGAGAGGACTGGGGATGTGCTCCTGTGGGGGAGCACACAGGAGATGAATGAGGGTACTTAATCGAGAGAGGTGCAGGAACATGTACACCAGGAAACCTCGCCAACTAATAAGAGCCAACGAGAGGTCATAATTGTGCCTTTACATATCTAGACCTTGTGTCTCTTTAAATATTGTGCTCTGATTTCTACAATAATCAATATTCTAAATAAAAATAAGAAAAAGCTCCATAAAGTACAGAAAAATATTTAATAATCACTCATAAATTTATCACCCAAAGAAAACAATTAACATTTTCAAGTACTTTTTCCCTAAACACTCATTTTGAAAGAAAAATCTGCATCCTATGGTATAAAATATTTTATAATCCAAATCTTTCACTTTGTATAATAGTTATAGTAAACATTCCAGACATAAAAAAAACTTAGTCAAGCCTTTCCCTCATGTTCAAGTCCACTCTTCTGTTCAGAGGATGGAAAACCACTTTTGGTTTCATGAATGAGTGGCCACTTGAGTAGGGCCTTTAAGGATGGTAAGGTTTCTGAGAGGCAGAAACAAGGCAGGCATACATTTTAGGTGGAAAGAATAGCATGAATCTATTTGTGAAGGTGGAAAGGTCTACGGGAACACAGATGTTCGGCTGACGCTCAGGGAGTTCTGGGAAGTAGGGAAGGAATTTGTTTGCTAACCTTAGGGCTGTGAACAAAGAGAGGGATAACAAGAAGAAGTTACAAAAATAAAAATAAAATAAATAAGGTAGACAAGGGCCTTTAAAAGTGGGTGATTGGGTCATGAATGGTAACTTAGGAGGACAACTTTCCAGTTCGGTGGGTGGAAGCAAAAGCCAGGAAATGGAGGTTTGCAAAGACTGTTTCTTACACTAAGAAATTAGACCGTGAGAGAAAGAACAGCTGGGTAGCAGCACTGAGGTTCTCACAGTCAACAGCAAAAGCCCCAGTTTTTTTCCAAGATGGCAAACTAGGAAGGCTCAGTGTTAGGGGAAAGGCCTCTGAGACAGGAGGAGAGAAGCACTGATCTATACAAAGGAAAAGAAAGATGAAGATACTCGCTCTCGAGGATCTTAATTTTCTTAGCAGAGAGGAGAGATCACCAGAGAAGAGGGAGGTGGTGGAGACTCGGGGGAACTCAACAAGGGCAGTGGAGTAGGACTGCAGAGTGACACTGGGTGTCCAGCGCAGTCTGGACAGAATGACTTTGTAGTTGGGCAAGTTAATGGAGTCATACGATCTTCCCAGAACACTCTGAACCCCAAGGGCACTATCTCTCAATGACATGGTGGAGGAATCCAGGGCTGGGCACTGGCTGAAGGTCATGCACAAGTCAGGTTATTTATGAGAACAGCAGTCAGTGTTGACCATTGCCATTGTAAATGAGTTGGCCAGGGGATGGAAGGAGATTTAAAGGGACCTGACAGCCTGGGTAGGGTGGGATGAAAGACTGAGTAATTGGAAAGGCTAGTGTACAGAATATAGGTACCCTGGAGGAGGGCTTTATTATTATTATTATTTTCTGTGGTGGTGGTGGGGTAGGAGGGATAGCAGTCTAAATTACATCAGTGTATTTCAGTGCGTACATGAAGGCACTATGCAACCTGGAAACATCAAGTTTGAGGAACAAATCAGTTGGCTGAAATAAGCAGAGAGAGCCTGGTTTTGATAATTTGTTCTTCTAATTTTTGGATCAAATAGAATGAAAAACACACTGGAAAATGCACTGGCCCTAGAAAAAAAATCTGACAGTTGAGTCCTCTGCAAGACTGGAGACTGGGGGACTGTAACTCAGGAAGGTTTGGCTGGCAGCCACCTGGCAGGCAATTCTCTGTACACGGAAAGGAACGGCTCAGGTTAATGAAGCAGCTTAAATTACTTAAAGGCACTCAGGTTACAAACTATGCAGTAGGTGGGGTATGCCAGCCACAGAAAAAGGGAGTCTCCCACAGAAAATGTATAAAAAAAGTGTGTAGAGAATATCAAAACATAAACAGACCGTTTATATCAGAAAGGAGTTTGGCTTTCTTTCTCAATCACCTGTAAAGCTAAAAGACTGTATTGCACATGTCAAAACTAGCAGCTATAAATGCAAAAATGCATAAACAAAGCTTTGAATTTTAATTATGCAATATATTGGAATGTTAATAAGCAAGAAAATGCAGTAGGCTTTTTTTAAACTTATAGAATTAGGGTTAATCACTTGTGTGCTGCAACTTGATGTGTGATGATTTAAGATGCAAGACTTTAAAGCTAAAAGCTGTTACCAAATCTCTTACTCTAAAATCTAGATGTAATAAATATTTTACACTAGGCATTAAAGGGGAGAAAGCAACTACAAAATTAACAAAGAGAGGGAAAAAAATACAATACCTCTGGATTCATTATGCCTTCTTTTTTAAAACAGCTGTAAAACATGTCCATGGAAAATACTTCACTCCAAAGATATCCATAATATTGCCCATCATATCCTCCTGCCAAATGTCCAAAGGTAGCTGGCATGTTTGTGCCTTTAAGGAAAGATATATTTCAATCAATGTGATGGCAAATGTTAATTACCAGGTTATCAGCTAGCTAAGGTTTCCCTTCAGGGAGTCCTGCTGTGGGAGGAGAGATGGGGTTTCACCTCCAGTACATCCTGGGTTTCCGTGTGCCCTCGGTCAAGATGTTTACAAACTTCTCTCCCGAGATGGCTCAACTTCAGAGCTGGTTTCGGCCCTAAGCTCTGGAATGCTTAACAATAGTTTCAGAGGCTCTGTCCACACCCATCAGACAGCTCAGTGTTTCAGAATCCCTCAGTCCTTTCTTACCCTTAGACACACATGAGTTTTACCAATACTCGACTATTAAGCCTATTCTTTGTCACACATCTTTATATCTAAAATGTGTCAGAATGGCGCTAGCTAGTTTGGCTCAGTGGTTAGAGTGTTGGCCCGCGGACTGAAGGGTCCTGGGTTTGATTTTGGCCAAGGGCACGTACCTCGGTTGTAGGTTCAGTCCCCAGCCCCGGTCGGGGTGGGAGGCAACCAATCGATGTTTCCCTCTTCCTCTCTCCCTTCCCCTCTCTCTGAAAAGCAATGGAAAAAATATACTAGGGTGAGGATTTAAAAAATAAAAAAATAAAATGTCTCAGAATGGCACTTATTTTAGGTTCATAATTATGGAAAACAAACTTTTTAACTTGAAAAGCTAAAGAAGTTTTACCAATTCAATCCACCTCTAGGATTCTGTCAGAGTGGCCTCAGGCACAAAGTTGCGTAAACAGATCACAGAAGGAAGTGAGGAGCCTAAGACAGACTCCAGGAACTATTCTGACCTTTATTATCTCTATAAATACGACCAATTCATTTAAATAACAACTTATTGGTGAAAAAAGTCTTCTTACCAACTACATGTAAGAACAATTACATGTTGGCTTCAAATATATATAATATAAATGTAAACACACACATGTATGCAGCTATCCTCCCACCCACATGAATCTCTTAAGTATCAGGTTAGAGATGCCAAGTCAAACTGATCTCAGAGTCAGAAACAATGTTGAAGTCGTGCTTCTCTGAAACTGCCCCTCTGCTAGTTTCTTACTGAAATCATTGGGAAGTCGTGCAGAGAGGGAGGGAGGAGCCAGGTGAGTGCTGCCAAATGTGAATGGCTTTCTGTGCTCTGGGGTGGAGGCCAATTGCTCACGCCTGATTACACTAAAATGCTGCAAAAGCTGGAGCCACCTTTCCTTCAAGCACATTTGGACAGGACAACTCATAATACAGACAGGGTATGCTTATCCGAAAGTCACGGCCTAATGACAGAAGTCAGAAACAAAATACATTAGGTAATCTGCCTGCCACACTCTACCTTCCCTGGTGGTGTGAGGAGTCTATCCTGTGCCACACAGGAAAAATGAACTCAAGCCATAACAGTGCTTACATACCTGGAGTAGCCGCAACACCCAGAATTTCTGTGCAGCATTTCGCATATTCACTCGCAGCATCCAGCGATGTGTTGGTGTGGAGAGACTGATCAACTTTGCTCAGAACAATCTGGCGTAGGGTCAGAAGACCTAATGACATAAGAATGTTTGGGCATGTTTTGCAGAAGAGAACTATGTGTGCTAATAGTACATGATCAGAGATTTCGAAACTGATTTCTATAGTACTCATTACAAACTGGAAGCAAAATATCTCATCTAAGATGTAAAAGTAGATGTGTTCTTTTCTTGGGCATAATCCCAGGATTCAGTAGTTCAATACATTTAGTGGTCTTCCCATGTTAGCACTCTTGGGGGACTGTCATTGGTAAAGGGGAAACAGTCCTATAGAAGAAGATGCCAGCAATTCCCTATTCAGTGATTCTAATTTATTTTCCTTTTCTAAAATTACATGTCATACCTGTGTTGACCAATCTAGAAGCAACAAGATTTTCAAGCAGGTCATCCATAATAGGCCTTCCATCTTTATAATGCTTTGATAGTCTCCGGAGCGAATCAGTGTCCCACACCCAATTTTCAAGCATTTGTGATGGCACTTCTACAAAGTCAGTTTCCACATTGGTTCCACTAAATCGTGCAAAGTCAGTCTAGAAAGTAAACATAGAGGTCTTTTTTAAAAAAACACAAAACAACAATGAATGCAAAACAAATAGGTGATTAATTATATAAGCAGAGTTCTCTAAAACTTAAGTCAGGATCAGAGTCAACTGCCCCTTTAAATGAAGGGTTAGAACACAGCCACTAAGCAGCATAAAAAATAACTCCAAAATACTCTAAATTAAAGTAATATTTTATTATTTTTAATCATAAACAAACATAGAACAATTATCCAGAAATCATTACTGAAGTTTTAATCAAAATCAATTAAAGAGTTAAATCACAACACTATAGAGCCTGTAGTATACATAGTATAGACAGACACCCATTGTGTATATGTGATGTTTTGTGTTCTAAACTTCAAGTCAGTGGGTCTAAAATAACCATGTTTATAAAAAGTCTGAGTTGTACTTCTCAGATTGGGTAGAAGATGTTACCTGAAAATGAGAAGCCACCCATTGCCCCAGCCAGGTACACCAAAGGGTTGTGGGTTCAGTACTTGGTTCTGGTGAATGCGGGAGGCAACTGATCAATGTTTCTCTCTCACATTGATGTCTCTGTCTCTCTCTCTCTCCTCCCCCTATAAAAATCAATAAAAAATAAAGAGAAATAAAATAAAAATAAATAAAATGAGCAGCCACTTTAGTGGGAGTTAGGGTTGTATATTAGTTGGCAAGAGGGGTTAGCTAAATGCAGCTAAAGGAAAGAAGAAACAAAGAATACACTCAAAAGTTAAGGCACCCCTCTGTGAAAGAAAAAGGAGTGGGTGATAGAATAAACCAGTGACCGAAAGTAACCTCCCAGGGTGATCTGATCATAAATTCCTAAATGGGCAAGTCATGGTTGGTAGTCATGCCCTAGGCCTATAACTTCCCTAGTAAAAGATTATCTATGCCTTAAGCAAGCCCTGTCCATTGTTTTTGTGCATCTAGGTTAATGCACCTTTGAAAAGCCTTTTTTTCAGACCCCTCTGAAGACCACCATCAAGAGAACACATCATTTTGTTAACTATCCTGTAATCATAGAGATTTCCCACCTTGCTTTTCCCCACCTCATGTAATCCTTCTTCTTCCCTTTCTCAATTCCCAATGTACAAAAAGAACTTCAGAACTGTCATTCGCAGGGAGCATTGGAGATCTTTCTTCCTGGCATGTCCTCAGTTTGGCTCAAATAAACTCATCAAAATTCTCTACAGCTTTGGACATTTCTTATGTCTACACCTCGTAAAAATAAAGTACTTCTTCTGAGGGTCTAGGCTAAGAGTTAAAAATATAGGGGTTTTTTTTGTGTTTTTGTAAGGAAAGTTTAGTAAATTGTTGAGTCAGACGTCAGAAAAGCTCTTGAGCAGAAAGCTGGGACTTCACTAGAACAGGCTGGTGTTTTTTAATCTTCACAGCATCCAAAGAACTTGTGTAAAACTGCCACTGGGTCGCCTGGGGATTATCATTCTGTTTTCTTCCCTGCACCTGCACCTGCACCTTGTTTCCCTCTTCAGAAGCTTTGGATCCCAGTCTTCGCTTCCTGACTTCATCATCCCTGGGGCTCCAAAGGGAAGGGAAGGGGAGAGGGACTTAACCATGGGCGAAGCGAGCAGATGGGACGCCGAATCAGATGCCGAGTCCGCAGCAAATAAGCATTCTGCTTTTGGCCCAGGGCAGGCGCACAGATGTCAATGCCAACTCACATTCTGCCTTCCTCCCTTTATGCAAAAAATGTTTTGCTTGACTTCCCATTATAATTGTGCTGATCCTAGATATGAAGAGCTGCAAATCCTGAAGGGCCAAAGGAAACTGAAATCACTGGGTTGCTGGAATGGGCCACCTGTGTTAGAGGACATCCCAATAAAAAATTCTTACAGGGAAAGGGTTCCAGAAAACTGCTGAATATTTTGCCTCTTTTTTGTATATAATCTTCTAAAGCAAATGAACCTACATTTAGATAAAACAAACTTATACAATAATTGTAACATCCAACATTTATTGAGACTTTACTATGTCAGGCATTATGCTAGGTCCTTTACATGGATTATCTGATTTAAATTCCAAAACAACTGTATGAAGTAAGTTATGTAATCTCCGTATCTGAGATAAGGAAATTGAGGCACACTACGATTAAAAGAACTAGGATTTGAAACCATGTGATCTGATGCAAATTTTAACCACAAATGCTATAATGCCTCCCTATCTTATTGAAAAAAATAGAAAAAGATAAAATAAAAGGTTAAGTTATACTGTTACAAAATGACCGAGTCTTCTTGGAAGGGATCTAAATCAGATCAAATTTGCCTTTATGTAAAGAGTAAGCGGTTTTAGTGTACTTCCGTAGAAATCTGACTTCCTCTATGTACTGGAAGATTTTTCAAAGACCAATTATAAGGCTGACGTGCACATGCCAGCCTCTGTAACCATCTATTCTGGACTCGGAATTCTGTAATACGAACTACACAATTTTCTAAAGATTATAGTTTTTAAATAAGTACTACCAGCAAATAAAGGCAAAATCACAGCATCAGCTACCACTATACAACATTTTGACAAAAAACATAAATTTTGCATATCCTGCTTGTGTGAATATTTTTCAATTAGTATTTGCAGATGGTGGGGGAAAATCAACCCCAAATAAAAACAAAATGCATGTGTGTGTTGGTGGTGATGACGGTGTTTCAGAACCTAGAAAAACATGAGCAAATGAATAAGTCATGAGTTAGAATTGAATAAAGGAAGAATTAATGCAGTTATGTCATGCAGAGTCGAGAAGAGAAGGCTTATTCTATCTAAAGCCATCTTGCAGTGGGGGAGAGAGCACAGCAAATGAATGAACAGATCAACAATGTCTTCTAAAGAACAAAAGGAAATGATTGCAAAGAGTAAAAGCTAAAAATAACCCTGCTGCTTACTAATTTCCCGAAAGTCAGTTGCGCTGTTTCTCTGTGTGCCCTTTGGGTAGTATCATTTAAATATTTTTCAAATGAGGAAACAAAGAATCTACAAATTTCAAAAGCTCAATTTCTAGCAAACAACTAAATCTTAAAGAGCAAGGCATCCACAGCCAGCCACTGTCTATGCCCACGACAGAAACCGAGGGCAAATCTCAGGATCCAGCAGCTTGATGGGAGCCGGACATGCAAAACAGCGAGGCGGCTGAGTTATTACTCATTGTTGAGTAGCGCGCAAATACCACCCCCAGCTTTAGAGAGAGAGGAAGGGAGAGGGACAGATAGAAACAACGATGAGAAAGAAACATCATTGATCGGCTGCCTCCTGCACGCCCCCTACCTGGGGATCGAGCCAGCAACTTGGACATGTGCCCTGACCAGGAATTGAACCCCTTGGTTCCTGGGTTGACACTCAACCACTGAGCCACACAGCCAAGCCCACCCCCAGTTTTAAACTATGGGTTCCAAAGAACCCTAAAAAGTACTTTTATAAAAAAAATTTTATTTGTCAGTGGTCATGCCATATCCTGACCTGTCTGATCTACCCCTAAACCCAGGAATGATAGAGACATTCATATAACAAAGCATTAAAACAAGAACAGTGCTACTGTCTCCTAGGCTTTGCCATAAATAGAGAGTTAAAGGTCAGGCTTGATTTTAACTTCACGTATACCTAGAAATCACTGGAGTAATAGTAATAGAGAGAACCTGAATAACACTGTTAACTCTTTTATTAATCTTCACAGCAGCCCATAGTTCAACAGCTCATATCACCACCATCATTTTAAAGACACATGAAACAACACATAATCTACAGGAATCTTGAAAACTGCATCTTAAATTCACAGGCTTACTCCCAAACTGGCTATACCTTCCTGATTACTACTTCTTATACTGAAATGGCTTCTTTTTAGATATAAACAAATACAAGTACTCCTCAAACTCAAATGCAAAGTAGGCTGGGGAGTATGCATGCCTTATTTACCACTCTATCTCCAAAAGCTAACACAACCCCAGAAAGTCGTTGATGGTCAATAAATATTTGTGAAATAAATGAAGCTGTGAGAATGTTTCTATATGAAGACCCAAACTTGAAACAACTCTAAGAGACTTTCTCTTATCAGGCTCGACCTGACCTCTTAGCCTCCAACATAGCATCATCTCACTATTCTTTCAATATTTGTATCCTTTAATAATAGGTTTTAATTTTTAAAAATTTACATTTCATGACCTCAAACTAAAATCTAAACATTCAAGATACTACCTTTTTTTAGTTTTGAAACTCATCCTACCATATTCAGTATATGTCAGGCACAATAGATAATCAATAACTCTGTCTCTGAGGTAATTAAACACTTTTCTCTTTTAAAAACATTTTTCCAATTATTTAAAAATACAGTAAGTAAATGAAAATAATAGCTTGTCTCCAAGCAGAAATAAGTGATGCAAAGATCATCACATTTGGTTTATGACTTTAGCATTTATTCCATGTACACATGTGAGTATGTATTATATATAAACAAATGAACACACAAATAAATAATGAAAATGAGATCCTGAAAGAAATCACTTCTAACAGTGACGTTGGAAGCTATAGCACTGTTCAAGGTTGGGAGTAGGGAGCAAAGAACACAAGGCTGTTGATAGGTGTTCACTGTACTATCAGGACTGAAACCTAAGAGGTCAGCTTACACAGAGGGATGCGTGGAATTAGATAAACTCATTTACTCCAAATGAGTTTAAGTGAGACTGATTTAGAGGGAGTGCCATTTAAGAAACATAGGAGAAAGACATACTTGGGAGACCAAACACAGCGTCTCCAGTGCATGGATTGAGAGCACAGAGAATGGTTGGTTATAGGCCAGAGTGGTGAAGAGCTTGACAGTCAGATCCTGAGTAAATCATTTAACTTTCCTAAGTCTCAGCTTCTTCCATTTGGAAATGGGAAAAATAAAAGTATAATAATAGCAGTAGATTGGTAAATCTACTTCAGAGAATACTGTAGGGACGAAATTAACTCGTAAGTGTAAGGCACTGAGTCTCCATAGTGCTTGC